GTGGGTGGGTTGTTGGTGAGTGAGTGAGTGGGGGTGTGAGGTGGGTGGGTTGGTGGGTGAGTGAGTGAGTTGGTGGGTGGGTGGGTGAATGAGTAGTGAGTGGGTGAGTGGGTGGGTGGTAAGTGGGTGGGTGGGTGGTGAGTGAGTGGGTGGGTGGGTAAGTGGGTGGGTGGGTGGGTGAGGTGGGTGGGTGGGTGGGTGAGTGAGTGGGTGGGTGAGTGGGTGGTGGGTGAGTGAGTGAGTGAGTGAGTTGGTGGGTGGGTGGGTGGGTGGGTGGGTGAGTGAGTGAGTGATGAGTGGGTGGGGTGAGTGGTGGGGGGTGAGTGAGTGGGTGGGGATTGGGGGGTGGCTTGGGTGTGTAGTGAGTGATGTTGTTGGGTGAGTGAGGGGTGGGTTAAGTGGGTGGTGGGTGTGTGCGTGAGTGACGTGGGTGGTCGTGGGTGAAGGGGTGGGTGTGAGTGGGTGGTGAGTGAGTAGTGGGTGGGTGTTTGGGTGAGTGGAGGGGTGGGGGGTTGGTGAAGTGAGTGGGTGAGTGGGTGGTGAGTGATGGGGTGGTGGGTTGTGTGAGGCGTGAGTGAGTAGTGGGTGGGTGGAGGAGTGAGTGAGTGAGTAGTGGGTGGGGGGTGGAGTGAGTGTGGTTGAGGTGGGTGGGTGCGTGAGTGTGTGAGTGAGTGTGGTGGGGGAGTGGGTGGGTGGGTGGGTGAGTGAGTGGGTGTGTGAGTGGGTGGGTGCGTTGAGGAGTGAGTTGGTGGGGGAGTGAGTGGGTGGGTAGTGGGGGGGGGGGGGGGTGAGTGAGTGGGTGGGTGGGTGTGGGTGAGTGGGTGGGTGGGGGTGAGTGGGTGGGTGAGTGAGTAGTGGGTGGGTGGGTGGGTGAGTGAGGAGTGAGTGGGTGGGTGGTGAGTGGGTGGGTGATGAGTAGTGGGTGGGTGGGTGGGTGGGTGGGTAGTGGTGGGTGGATGGGTGGGTGAGTGAGTGAGTGGGTGGGTGGAGTGGTGGGTGGGTGGGTGGTGATGAGTGGGTGGGTGGGTGAGTGAGTGAGTTGAGTTGGGTGTGTGGGTGGGTGGTGAGTGAGTGAGTGAGTGAGTGAGTGGGTGGGTGAGTGGTGGGTGGGTGAGTGAGTGGGTGGGTGAGTGGGTGGGTGGGTGGAGTGATGAGTTGTGGTGGGTGATGAGTGGGGTGGGTAAGTGGGTGGGTGGGTGGTGTGAGTGAGAGTGAGTGGGTGGTGGGTGAGTGGGTGGGTGGGTGGTGAGTGGGTGGGTGAGTGCGTAGTGGGTGGGTGGTGGGTGAGTGAGTGAGTGGGTGTGTGATGGGTGGGTGGTGAGTGAGTGAGTAGTAGGTGAGTGACGTGAGTGAGTGAGTGGGTAGGGGGTGAGGTGGGTGATTCGTTGATGTGGTGAGTGGGTTGTGAGTGAGTGTCGTGAGTGATGGTGGGTAGGGGTGGGGGTGGGTGGGTGGGTGGGTGGGTGAGTGGGGTGTGTGAGTGAGTGGGTTGGGGAGTGGGGGGTGGGTGGGTGGGTGGGTGGGTGAGTGGGTGGGTGGCGTGGGTGAGTGAGTGAGTGGTGGGTGAGTGAGTGGGTGGGGTAAGTGGGTGGGTGGGTGGGTGAGTAGTGGGTGGGTGGGTGAGTGGGTGGGTGGGTGGTGAGTGGGTGGGTGAGTGAGTAGTGGGTGGGTGGGTGGGTGAATTGAGTGGGGTTGGGGGGGTGTGTGAGTGAGGGGTGGGTGGGTGATGGGTGGTGAGTGAGTGCTTAGTGGCGTGGGTGGGTGGGTGAGTGAGTGCGGAGTAGGTAGTGGGTGGGTGGGGTGGGTGAGTGAGTGAGTAGTGGGTGGTGGCGTGGCGTGAGGTGAGTAAGTGGGTGGGTGAGTGGGTGGGCTGAGTGAGTGGTGTGGTGGTGAGTGATGCTGAGTGAGTGAGTAGTGGTGGGTGGGTGAGTGAGTGAGTGAGTAGTGGGTGGGTGGGTGAGTGAGTGTGGGTGAGTGGGTGGGTGATGTGAGTGTGTGAGTGAGTGGGTGTATGGTGTGTGTGAGTGGGTGGGTGAGTGAGTGATTGGGTGAGTAGTTGACTGAGTGGGTGGGTAAGTGGTTGAGCGACGTGGGTGCGTTAGTGGTTGAGTGGGTAGGTGGATGAGTGCCGCACCCATTTAGCCCCCTCGATCCGGCCGAACAAAAGCTGTTTAGGCATGCGGTGGCTGGGCTTGCGGGCTACATGACCCAGCCAACGCAGCCTTGCCTGCCGGAGGAGCTCACCGATGGGACTTTGTCCAGATCTTTCTGGGATTTGTGAGCTCCTCACACAATCCAGCCTGTTTAAACCCAGGATGGATCGTAGGCAGGCCAGCCTTAATCTTTTTAAGCGGCGAATATGTTCCATTAGGGGGGTCCACTTTTCGCATGCGTAGAGAAGGGAGCGAATGATTGTGGCCGAGAAGACCTGAAGCTTCGTGCGGAGCGACAGACCAGGTAGCTTCCACACAGCGTTACGCAACCGATGAAAAGATATTGCCGCTTGACTGATTCGGAGTGAGACCTCTGCTGTTAAACCGGAGCCGGCCATGATCACACTGTCCAGGTATGGGAAACTCTCCACTCTCTCCACAACTGCCCCATCACCAAATGGGAGTTGTGGGGGTGGAGTGTCCAATGGTACAAAATACCCAGGCAGGTGCTTAGTTTTGGTGGGTCTGATGGTAAGGCCCCACCTCTTAGTGGCACGCTCCAGTCTCAGCCGCAGCATCTCCAACTCCTCTTCTGAATGAGCAGCTATCACCAAATCATCGGCATACATAACATGGTTGACCAATAGGGAGCCATCCCTTGACCGCACCCGGGCATCGATCAGCCTCCCATTGTATCTGTACCAGATGGAAATTCCTCTGGTACAGCCATCGAAGGCTTCACGAACTACGTGGTCAAAATAGATGTTCAATAATGTGGGAGCTAGAGGACATCCCTGTTGCACCCCAAGGTAAAAAGGGAATGGCTCTGACTCCCGGCCACGTAGTTTTACCCGGGCCCGCTCACCATCATGAAGGTCCTTGTGAGCAGAGGGTCAGGGACTGCAAAAGCACGAACAATGACCCAGAGCCCAGGCCTACTGATGGTATCATAGGCCTTGACCAGGTCAGTAAAGCAGAGATGTAGGTCTTGTTGGAATTCCCTACACCTCTGCTGTAGCAGACGGACAGAAAATATGGCATCTGTGCAGGACCACCCTTTCCTTAAACCACATTGGGGCTCCGCAAGCCTGTCCTCAGTGTGCCTGGCAAAGCGATGTTGAATAGACACACAGACACACATAGACAGACACACACAGACAGACACAGACAGATAAAGATCCCCCGTATAGCCTTAACAGACTGTAGGGGCAAGTGCTGTTAGCGAGCACCTATGAAGGCCAGAACGGTACACACAGACAGACACACACAGACACACACAGCCACACACAGACAACAACAACCGCCATTTGCCACTAAGTGGTGGTGACATCACCACGACGCTTGTGCCAGGCCACACACACAGACAAACAGACAGCCACAGACACACACAGACACAGACGGACAGACACTGCCACACACAGACAAACACAGACACACAGAGACACACACAAGACAGACACAGAAAAGTGATGAAGACCAAAACCTCATCACTCACCTCATACAACAACACTGCTCAGCATCCCACTCTGTCTGTGTCTCTCTGTTTCTCTCTCTGTTTCTCTGTCTGTATCTGTCTCACTGTGTCTCTTTGTCTGTGTCTCCCTGTCTCTCTGTCTGTATCTGTCTCACTGTGTCTCTCTGTCTGTGTCTCCCTGTCTCTCTCTCTGTCTCTCTGTCTGTATCTGTCTCACTGTGTCTCTCTGTCTGTGTCTCCCTGTCTCTCTCTGTCTCTCTGTCTGTATCTGTCTCACTGTGTCTCTCTGTCTGTGTCTCCCTGTCTCTCTGTATCTGTCTCACTGTGTCTCTCTGTCTGTGTCTCCCTGTCTCTCTCTCTGTCTCTCTGTCTGTATCTGTCTCACTGTGTCTCTCTGTCTGTGTCTCCCTGTCTCTCTCTGTCTCTCTGTCTGTATCTGTCTCACTGTGTCTCTCTGTCTGTGTCTCCCTGTCTCTCTCTCTGTCTCTCTGTCTGTATCTGTCTCACTGTGTCTCTCTGTCTGTGTCTCCCTGTCTCTCTGTATCTGTCTCACTGTGTCTCTCTGTCTGTGTCTCCCTGTCTCTCTCTCTGTCTCTCTGTCTGTATCTGTCTCACTGTGTCTCTCTGTCTGTGTCTCCCTGTCTCTCTCTGTCTCTCTGTCTGTATCTGTCTCACTGTGTCTCTCTGTCTGTGTCTCCCTGTCTCTCTGTCTGTATCTGTCTCACTGTGTCTCTCTGTCTGTGTCTCCCTGTCTCTCTCTGTTTCTCTGTCTGTATCTGTCTCACTGTGTCTCTCTGTCTGTGTCTCTCTGTTTCTCTCTCTGTTTCTCTGTCTGTGTCTGTCTCTCTCTGTCTCTCTGTCTGTGTCTCTCTGTCTGTGTATCTCTGTCTCTCTCTGTCTCTCTGTCTGTATCTGTCTCACTGTGTCTCTCTGTCTGTGTCTCCCTGTCTCTCTGTCTGTATCTGTCTCACTGTGTCTCTCTGTCTGTGTCTCTCTGTCTGTGTATCTCTGTCTCTCTCTGTGTCTCTGTCTGTATCTGTCTCACTGTGTCTCTCTGTCTGTGTCTCCCTGTCTCTCTCTGTCTCTCTGTCTGTATCTGTCTCACTGTGTCTCTCTGTCTGTGTCTCCCTGTCTCTCTGTCTGTATCTGTCTCACTGTGTCTCTCTGTCTGTGTCTCCCTGTTTCTCTCTCTGTTTCTCTGTCTGTGTCTGTCTCTCTCTGTCTCTCTGTCTGTCTCTCTCTGTCTGTGTCTCCCTGTCTCTCTCTGTCTCTCTGTTTGTATCTGTCTCACTGTGTCTCTCTGTTTCCCCGCGTCTCACCGTATCTCCCCGCGTGTGTCCCCAATCCCGTAGCCACCACCGCCACAATCACCACCACCGCCACCACCACCACCGCTGCCGCCACCACCACCACCACCGCGGTGTCTACGGGAGACGAGGCGACGCTCCCCGCCGGTGGCGGTAGCGCCTCCATCAGCTTCATGGCGGCCATAGCGGTGCTGGCGATCCTCCCCTTCGTGGTGTGCACCGCGTGGGGCAGACGGAGCGCCGGCAAACGTGGCGGTGAGCGTTGCGGTGGCGTTGTGGTGGCTATGAGATGTTGCCGGTGAGCGTTGTGGTGGCGTTGTGGTGGCTATGAGATGATGCCGGTGAGCGTTGTGGTGGCGTTGTGGTGGCTACGGAGATGTTGACGGCCTCGCCTGGTACACGGGAGGTCGTGGGTTCGATCCCGACCCTGACACCTGTATATTTGGAGTTTGCGGTGTCTCTCATCATCACAATGTCTGAGATGTTGACTACCTCGCCTGGTACACAGGAGGTCGTGGGTTCGATCCAGACCCTGACACTTCCTGCGTCTCTGCGCATTCTGAGTCTTTTGGTTGCTGCTTTATATTTGCCGCCCGACAACGATGGTGATGACGACGATGACGACGATGACGACGATGACGATGATGACGATGACGACGATAAGCCACCGAGTTGAGCCGTCACTTGTGATAGCCGCTGTAGCTTCTACTAAACAAGTTAAGTAGTTGCACAGCGGGGGGCTTACCCGGTAAGATACAACAAATATTAGCATTTGTATCTATGTACTTATTTTAATTGATTTGTCAACTTTTGCTATACTTCGCACGTGCCGACGGCGCGTGTCTGCGTGTCGCGTCTGCGTGTCGCGTCTGCGTGTCGCGTCTGCGTGTCGCGTCTGCGTGTCGCGTCTGCGTGTCGCGTCTGCGTGTCGCGTCTGCGTGTCGCGTCCCAGAGTTCCGTGCCTCGTGAGTTTCTCTCCGCACTCTGCGTGATGTTCTCGTTCCCCAGCGGACGAGCAAGGAGGGAGCTCCCCGAGCCTGGTGCCCGAGAGAGATGCCGTCTCTGCCGAGTGCAGGTAGCCACCAACACTAACACCACCAACACCACCGCCACCACCACCACCATCACCACCACCGTCACCACCACCGCCACCACCATCATCACCACCGCCACCACCACCATCATCATCACCACCACTGCCACCACCGTCACCACCACCACCACCGCCACCACCATCATCATCACCACCGCCACCACCGCCACCATCATCACCACCGCCACCACCACCATCGCCACCACCGCCACCACCACCGCCACCACCGCCACCACCATCACCACCACCACCATCACCACCGCCACCGCCACCACCGCCGCCACCGCCATCGCCACCATCACCGCCACCACCACAACCACCATCACCACCACCACCATCACCACCGCCACCACCCGCCACCACCTCGCCTGGCACGCAGGAGGTCGTGGGTTCAATCCCAGACACTGAGAGATGTTGACCACCTCGCCTGGCACGCAGGAGGTCGTGTGTTCAATCCCAGACACTGAGAGATGTTGACCACCTCGCCTGGCACGCAGGAGGTCGTGGGTTCAATCCTAGACACTGAGAGATGTTGTCCACCTCGCCTGGCACGCAGGAGGTCGTGGGTTCAATCCCAGACACTGAGAGATGTTGACCACCTCGCCTGGCACGCAGGAGGTCGTGGGTTCAATCCCAGACACTGAGAGATGTTGACCACCTCGCCTGGCACGCAGGAGGTCGTGGGTTCGATCCCCACCCTTGACGACGCCCGCCGCTGTTTATTCGGTGGCCGCGTGACGTCTTCTTGTGTTCAGCTCGTCAAACTTCCTCCGAACCTCCGAGTTAGAAATATTTTGTCTACGAAACGGGCGCGAATAACTTCCACTGTTTGTGCACTCTCACGCGCTGCTCGGTACGTATGCCAGAGGTCGCAACCGGGTACCCGATACCCGTACCCTACCCGATACCCGGCTACCCGTACCCGGCTGGGTACGGGTACGGGTAGGCCGTGAGTCATCGGTGAGTCACCGTTTGTCACTCATTTCCCAACGTCTTGTCTCTTCTCACAATTCAAGTTCCTGGAATCAACCCACCCGCGCCTGCAACATGGCTTCATCCCAGAGGTCGCAATCAGGTACCCGTTTGCGACCCTGGTGTGGCCGGGTACGGGTACGGTACGGGTAGGGTACGGGTAGGGTACGGGTACGGGTAGGGTACGGGTACGGGTAGGGTACGGGTACGGGTAGGGTACGGGTGCGGGTAGGGTAGGGTACGGGTAGGGTACGGGTAGGGTACGGGTACGGGTAGGGTACGGGTAGGGTACGGGTAGGGTACGGGTACGGGTAGGGTACGGGTAGGGTACGGGTACGGCCAGGTACAGGTACCCGTTTGCGACCCTGGTGCGGGTAGGGTACGGGTACCCGTTTGCGACCCTGGTGCGGCCGGGTACGGGGGGTAAGGAATCAAAACCCGTTTGCGAGCTCTGCCGTCCGCATCACCCTCGCCTACTTTCTCCGCTCCCTCCAGCGACGAGGAGGCGGCCACCGCGCGGGTGACGGAGGCAGAGGCGTAGCTAGGATATTTTGCGCCCGGGGACGAACTATAAAATTGGCGCCCCCCCCCGTTTAATCACATTTTCCTATTACATCGAATAAGGAACAACAATTTAAATTTTAATGAAACATTGTTGTTTAAAGAAGCAAATTTATAGAAATTATATTACATGGCTCACTCAGTCACTGTCGCAAACTGGTCAATCACATAATCAACATCTGTTTTTTTACAATGTTTCTCTTTCAACGCTAAGAATAGCAAGATCGCTGAGACGATCTTGTCCCATTGAAGCATGCAAATACGACTAAATAAGTTTCAATTTGCTGAACGACCGCTCACAGCTTGCAATTGAAACTGCTATTGTTAATAACATTTGCAGTGAAATTCGCAAATTCGGAAATATGTCGTCTCCATAAAAGACAATAAAACCAAGAAGATCCAAAGGAGTTTCTGGTAGAACTTCATTCCGGTTACTGAGCAGCATTTTGCAATCTCCAATTTCTGTGAAAAGTTCGTGGCCATTGATGTCGGTGTCATAGAAATTTCCAAAATCTTTGCAATTTCGACGAATTGCATCGACATCTGTGTTGGATAGAAGAGTTTTGACGTCCAGCAGAAATCAAAATTTTGTGTTCAGGTTTTTTAGTCATAAAAAAACGTGTTGACATCACCTGTTGAAGTCGATAAAATACGCTCTTCATAACGCGCACAATTTCTTCTTCTGCTGAAAGTCCTGCATCTCTTGCCAGTTCTCCTGGCATCTTCCGACGTCGCCTAATTCTTCTGTCCACATCGATCCCCCAGGCTGTGCATCTTGTTTTGGCGTTTTCTACAGCAACTTGGCTCAAATCATCACGAAGCTTGACAAATTCATGCTCCAAAGATTCAAGATCAGTTGCTGCTTCCTTGAAATTCATAGTAGGATCCTGTAAGCGCTTCTGAACACGATCAATTTTTCCAAGAATGCCATTCCAGAAATGTAATAAAACTATGAAGTTAAAATGTAATACGCATGCCTGTGTAGGGGTGTTAGAGAGAGAGCCGTTATGCATGGCAGCTTATGGGAAACAAACACAGTGGGCGGGGCTACGTGAGTGCACGGGGGGGTGCTCTCAACGACGTCCGCACCGGGCAGCCCGGGGCCCCACCCCTCAGCGGGGGTTGAGTATAAAAGGGGAGGTGTCAGAGGGCTCGGGAGAGAAATGTTAAGCTAACGAGAAGACTGAAGACATCTTAGCTAGAAGCCCTGGACTCCCCTAGTTCGACGTCCTTATCAGGGCCGAACAGGATCGAGCCAGCGGCGTGGTTCTGAGAGCCAGAGCCGGTGCTCTTGTCAGAGCAGGTCTGGGACTCCGGGTACCGGGCCCGACTTACCAGTGTTGGGCCAGATAGCCTCCCCTAGCCCGTTAGTGGAGGACTAAGAGGCAGGCTAGGGTAGCTAGCGTGTGTATTCCCAGCTAGCCGGGTGAGAGGGCCGATAACCCCTCGAGTGTTATATGCCCACTGTTGTGCTGTGAAATAAACCCGTGTGCCTCCAACTCCGGCGTCAAGAGTCGTCAACGGTATTACACCTGTAACTGTTCTGCATCACTTCTGGTTTCAGGCGTCATAGTTACGTCCTCCGATAATTTGTCTAGCAGCCCTACTAGTTCATCCAGTCCTTCAAGATAGCTTTAACAACTTCTGATCGTGCACTCCTACGTGTTTCAGGCTCCAGCTTTACTATGATGGGCACAGCTTTTTTTAACTCTTCCCAACGAATTGTTGAACGAGAGAAAAACAAATATATACTTTCAACTGTTCCAAAAATGTGACAAGTGGATCCTGTTTAGCTGAGTGTACTCCTGCTAAGTTTAAGCTGTGGTTGTCACAGTTGACAAACAATGCTCTGTGATTTTTGTCACATATTCGTTGTTGAAGGCCGGATATATGCCCAGTCATCACAGCAGCATTGTCATAACATTGTGCCCGACAGTCGGCTAGAGGTATGTTGTCAGATTTCAGTCTCTCGACGATGACTCTTTCTAGGCTTGCTGCATCTTTCGCATGTATCTCGATATAACCTAAACATGATTCTTTGATAGTTACTTTTTTAGTTTGAAAATTGACATCCACAAATCTTATGACCTGAGAAAGCTGTTCCCGATGTCCTAGATCAGGAGTTGAGTCAAGTAAGATACCGTAGTACTTGTTTTTCCTGATATCACTCAACAATTGGTTCTTTACAGTCGACGCAAGTATGTGGATAAATTCATTCTGGATTTCCGGTGACAAATAAGAAACTGATCCCGGATTTTCTCCTGCGTGCTGTACGTGTTTTGCTAACAATGGGTCATACTGCGCAACGAGTTTGATCAGCGCAAGAAAGTTTCCAACATTTTTTTTCATCCGCATTCAAATTTTCCTCATGGCCATGTAGTGCCAAATTTTGTGAAACCAGAAACTTAATACAGGTGAGTATTCTTTGCAATATATCTCGCCAACGTTGTTTTTCCAAATGAATCTGAGCTTGAACCACTGCGTCAATTCCAGCACCATCAATCATCCTTCGTTCGGCTTCCTTCCATGTAGTAAAAGCTGTGTGCGGTGGCTAGGATTGTTTTCATGAGAATTTAGTTTTTCTGGCTTCCTCCACTTGTTGAAACCGTTTGTTAATTCAAACGAAGCTCGTGAGTTTGAACTCGATTATGTAAATAATAGACAACAGAAACAGTAAACAGCTTTATTGATTGGTGAATATAATAGCCACGAACGAGTCACTTCCTCTCCGTTCGCTAGTCGGCGTTTAAACCATGCTGATGTAATTGAACGTGCGTGGGCTGCTGCGGCTGCTGCAGCCGCCTGGAGCGTGGTGGTGTCACTAATAAGAACTAAAAATAGGCGTCGTAGTTTCCACCACCAAAAAACAGGCCAGTGACTAAGGCTGAAAGACTGCGCCTGTCTGTTGTTTGGGACGTTCTTCCATGGAAGTTCTTAATAGGCGCGCGTACCAAAATTTAATTACATGACATGCAGGCTGTGTGTGGCGGGATATATAAACTTTGAGGTTGAGGTGTAGATTTGTGCAGTAGTTTCAGGCTGCCGCGCCCGCCGCAATAAGTTATCGTGTAACGTTGTAAGCCTCATTTTGGTGCCCCTTTACCTTGGCGCCCGGGGACACGTGTACCCCCCTGCCCCCCCCTAGCCTCGCCTCTGGACGGAGGTGTAAGAGGAGAAGAGGTGGAAGACGAGGTGTCAGAGTGGTGGGCGGCTCGTGGTGACGGCTCCCATTGCTGGTGGCGGTTCTCTCTCTCGCGGCCTTCGTGGCCGCCACTGACACGGAGCCCCGGGGCGGCGTGGACCGGGCTGATGGCGGCACGGGGAAGTTTGTGTGTTGGTGGGCAAGGCCGCCACTGTAGTAGTACCGTCATTGTTGCTGCTGCTGTTGTATTGATGGTGAAAAGTTATTTCTCACGCACCCCCTCACCCCGACTTTATATTCAAGCTTTTAGTTGTGTGATGTCCGGTACTCACACAGAGACCCAAAGACTCGCCACAAAGATACCCATAGACTCACCACACAGAGACCCACAGACTCACCACACAGAGACCCATAGACTCACCACACAGAGACCCACAGACTCACCACACAGAGACCCATAGACTCACCACACAGAGACCCACAGACTCACCACACAGAGACCCACAGACTCACCACACAGAGACCCATAGACTCACCACACAGAGACCCACAGACTCACCACACAGAGACCCACAGACTCACCACACAGAGACCCACAGACTCACCACACAGAGACCCATAGACTCACCACACAGAGACCCACAGACTCACCACACAGAGACCCACAGACTCACCACACAGAGACCCACAGACTCACCACACAGAGACCCACAGACTCACCACACAGACCCACAGACTCACCACACAGAGACCCACAGACTCACCACACAGAGACCCACAGACTCACCACACAGAGACCCACAGACTCACCACACAAAGACCCACAGACTCACCACACAGAGACCCACAGACTCACCACACAGAGACCCACAGACTCACCACACAGACACCCACAGACTCACCACACAGAGACCCACAGACTCACCACACAAAGACCCACAGACTCGCCACACAGAGACCCATAGACTCACCACACAGAGACCCATAGACTCACCACACAAAGACCCACAGACTCACCACACAGAGAGCCATAGACTCACCACACAGAGACCCACAGACTCACCACACAGAGACCCACAGGCTCACCACACAGAGACCCACAGACTCACCACACAAAGACCCACAGACTCGCCACACAGAGACCCATAGACTCACCACACAGAGACCCATAGACTCACCACACAAAGACCCACAGACTCGCCACACAGAGACCCACAGACTCACCACACAGAGACCCATAGACTGACCACACAGAGACCCATAGACTCATCATACAGAGACCCACAGACTCATCACACAGAGACCCATAGACTCACCACACAGAGACCCACAGACTCACCACACAGAGACCCATAGACTCACCACACAGAGACCCATAGACTCACCACACAAAGACCCACAGACTCGCCACACAGAGACCCATAGACTCACCACACAGAGACCCATAGTCTCACCACACAGAGACCCATAGACTCATCACACAGAGACCCACAGACTCACCGCACAGAGACCCATAGACTCACCACACAGAGACCCACAGACTCACCACACAGAGACCCACAGACTCACCACACAGAGACCCACAGACTCGCCACACAGAGACCCACAGACTCGCCACACAGAGACCCATAGACTCACCACACAGAGACCCACAGACTTTCCACACAGAGACCCACAGACTCGCCACACAGAGACCCACAGACTCACCACACAGAGACCCACAGACTCGCCATACAGAGACCCATAGACTCACCACACAGAGACCCACAGACTCACCACACAGAGACCCATAGACTCACCACACAGAGACCCACAGACTCACCACACAGAGACCCACAGACTCGCCACACAGAGACCCACAGACTCGCCACACAGAGACCCACAGACTCATCACACAGAGACCCACAGACTCACCACACAGAGACCCACAGACTCACCACACAGAGACCCATAGATCCACCACACAGAGACCCATAGACTCACCACACAGAGACCCATAGACTCACCACACATAGACCCACAGACTCGCCATACAGAGACCCACAGACTCACCACACAGAGACCCACAGACTCACCACAGAGACCCATAGACTCATCACACAGAGACCCATAGGCTCACCACACAGAGACCCACAGACTCACCACACAGAGACCCACAGACTCGCCACACAGAGACCCATAGACTCACCACACAGAGACCCACAGACTCACCACACAGAGAACCACAGACTCACCACACAGAGACCCACAGACTCACCACACAGAGACCCACAGACTCGCCACACAGAGACCCATAGACTCACCACACAGAGACCCACAGACTCACCACACAGAGACCCACAGACTCATCACACAGAGACCCACAGACTCATCACACAGAGACCCACAGACTCATCACACAGAGACCCACAGACTCATCACACAGAGACCCACAGACTCACCACACAGAGACCCACAGACTCACCACACAGAGACCCACAGACTCACCACACAGAGACCCACACTCGCCACACAGAGACCCATAGACTCACCACACAGAGACCCACAGACTCGCCACACAGAGACCCATAGACTCACCACACAGAGACCCACAGACTCACCACACAGAGTGAGTGAGTGAGGCTGCCTGCCCCGTGAGTGAGTGAGGCTGCCTGCCCCGTGAGTGAGTGAGGCTGCCTGCCCCGTGAGTGAGTGAGGCTGCCTGCCCCGTGAGTGAGTGACGCTGCCTGCCCCGTGAGTGAGTGAGGCTGCCTGCCCCGTGAGTGAGTGAGGCTGCCTGCCCCGTGAGTGAGTGAGGCTGCCTGCCCCGTGAGTGAGTGACGCTGCCTGCCCCGTGAGTGAGTGAGGCTGCCTGCCCCGTGAGTGAGTGAGTGAGGCTGCCTGCCCCGTGAGTGAGTGAGGCTGCCTGCCCCGTGAGTGAGGTGAGGCTGCCTGCCCCGTGAGTGAGTGAGTGAGGCTGCCTGCCCCGTGAGTGAGTGAGTGAGGCTGCCTGCCCCGTGAGTGAGTGAGTGAGGCTGCCTGCCCCGGGAGTGAGTGAGGCTGCCTGCCCCGTGAGTGAGTGAGGCTGCCTGCCCCGTGAGGAGTGAGTGAGGCTGCCTGCCCCGTGAGTGAGTGAGTGAGGCTGCCTGCCCCGTGAGTGAGTGAGTGAGGCTGCCTGCCCCGTGAGTGAGTGAGTGAGGCTGCCTGCCCCGTGAGTGAGTGAGTGAGGCTGCCTGCCCCGTGAGTGAGTGAGTGAGGCTGCCTGCCCCGTGAGTGAGTGACGCTGCCTGCCCCTGAGTGAGTGAGTGACGCTGCCTGCCCCGTGAGTGAGTGACGCTGCCTGCCCCGTGAGTGAGTGAGGGAGGCTGCCTGCCCCGTGAGTGAGTGAGTGAGGCTGCCTGCCCCGTGAGTGAGTGAGTGAGGCTGCCTGCCCCGTGAGTGAGTGAGTGAGGCTGCCTGCCCGTGAGTGAGTGAGTGAGGCTGCCTGCCCCGTGAGTGAGTGAGGCTGCCTGCCCCGTGAGTGAGTGAGGAGGCGCCTGCCCCGTGAGTGAGTGAGTGAGGCTGCCTGCCCGTGAGTGAGTGAGTGAGGCTGCCTGCCCCGTGAGTGAGTGAGTGAGGCTGCCTGCCCCGTGAGTGAGTGAGGCTGCCTGCCCCGTGAGTGAGTGAGGCTGCCTGCCCCGTGAGTGAGTGAGGCTGCCTGCCCCGTGAGTGAGTGAGGCTGCCTGCCCCGTGAGTGAGTGAGGCTGCCTGCCCCGTGAGTGAGTGAGTGAGCTGCCTGCCCCGTGAGTGAGTGAGTGAGGCTGCCTGCCCCGTGAGTGAGTGAGTGAGGCTGCCTGCCCCGTGAGTGAGTGAGGCTGCCTGCCCCGTGAGTGAGTGAGGCTGCCTGCCCCGTGAGTGAGTGAGTGAGGCTGCCTGCCCCGTGAGTGAGTGACGGCTGCCTGCCCCGTGAGTGAGTGAGGCTGCCTGCCCCGTGAGTGAGTGAGGCTGCCTGCCCCGTGAGTGAGTGAGTGAGGCTGCCTGCCCCGTGAGTGAGTGAGGCTGCCTGCCCCGTGAGTGAGTGACGGCTGCCTGCCCCGTGAGTGAGTGAGGCTGCCTGCCCCGTGAGTGAGTGAGGCTGCCTGCCCCGTGAGTGAGTGAGTGAGGCTGCCTGCCCGTGAGTGAGTGAGTGAGGCTGCCTGCCCCGTGAGTGAGTGAGGCTGCCTGCCCCGTGAGTGAGGTGAGGCTGCCTGCCCCGTGAGTGAGTGAGTGAGGCTGCCTGCCCCGTGAGTGAGTGACGCTGCCTGCCCCTAGTGAGTGAGGCTGCCTGCCCCGTGAGTGGTGAGTGAGGCTGCCTGCCCGTGAGTGAGTGAGTGAGGCTGCCTGCCCCGTGAGTGAGTGAGTGAGGCTGCCTGCCCCGTGAGTGAGTGAGTGAGGCTGCCTGCCCCGTGAGTGAGTGACGGCTGCCTGCCCCGTGAGTGAGTGAGGCTGCCTGCCCCGTGAGTGAGTGACGGCTGCCTGCCCCGTGAGTGAGTGAGGCTGCCTGCCCCCGTGAGTGAGTGAGGCTGCCTGCCCCGTGAGTGAGTGAGTGAGGCTGCCTGCCCCGTGGGATGTGAGTGAGGCTGCCTGCCCCGTGAGTGAGTGAGGCTGCCTGCCCCGTGAGTGAGTGAGGCTGCCTGCCCCGTGAGTGAGTGAGTGAGGCTGCCTGCCCCGTGAGTGAGTGAGTGAGGCTGCCTGCCCCGTGAGTGAGTGAGTGAGGCTGCCTGCCCCGTGAGTGAGTGAGGCTGCCTGCCCCGTGAGTGAGTGAGTGAGGCTGCCTGCCCCGTGAGTGAGTGAGTGAGTGACGCTGCCTGCCCCGTGATTGGAGTGAGGGAGGCTGCCTGCCCCGTGAGTGAAGTGACGCTGCCTGCCCCGTGAGTGAGTGAGTGAGGCTTGCCTGGCCCCGTGAGTGAGTGAGGCTCCTGGCCCCGTGTGAGTGAGTTGAGTGGGAGGCTTCGCCTGCCCCGTGAGTGAGTGACGCTTGCCTGCCCGTGAGTGAAGCTGGAGTGAGGCTGGCCTGCCACCGTGAGTGAGTGAGTGAGGCTGCCTGCCCCCGTGAAGTGAGTTGAGGCTGCCTGCCCCGTGAGTGAGTGAGGCTTGCCTGCCCCGTGAAGTAGAGTGAGGGCTGCCTGCCCCGGGAGTGAGTGAGGCTGCCTGCCCCGTGGAGTGAGTGAGGCTGCCTGCCCGGGGAGATGAGTGAGGCTGCCTGCCCCGTGAGTGAGTGAGGGCTGCCTGCCCCGTGAGTGAGTGAGGCTGCCTGCCCCGTGAGTGGAGTGAGGCTGCCTGCCCCCGTGAGTGAGTGAGGCCTGGCCGAGTGAGGCTGCCTGCCCCGTGAGTGAGTGAGGCTGCCTGCCCCGTGAGTGAGTGAGGCTGCCTGCCCCGTGAGTGAGTGAGGCTGCCTGCCCCGTGAGTGAGTGAGGCTGCCTGCCCCGTGAGTGAGTGACGCTGCCTGCCCCGTGAGTGAGTGAGGCTGCCTGCCCCGTGAGTGAGTGAGGCTGCCTGCCCCGTGAATGAGTGAGGCTGCCTGCCCCGTGAGTGAGTGAGTGAGGCTGCCTGCCCCGTGAGTGAGTGAGGCTGCCTGCCCCGTGAGTGAGTGAGTGAGGCTGCCTGCCCCGTGAATGAGTGAGGCTGCCTGCCCCGTGAGTGAGTGAGGCTGCCTGCCCCGTGAGTGAGTGAGGCTGCCTGCCCCGTGAGTGAGTGAGTGAGGCTGCCTGCCCCGTGAGTGAGTGAGGCTGCCTGCCCCGTGAGTGAGTGAGTGAGGCTGCCTGCCCCGTGAGTGAGTGAGTGAGGCTGCCTGCCCCGTGAGTGAGGCTGCCTGCCCCGTGAGTGAGTGACGCTGCCTGCCCCGTGAGTGAGTGAGTGAGGCTGCCTGCCCCGTGAGTGAGTGAGTGAGGCTGCCTGCCCCGTGAGTGAGTGAGGCTGCCTGCCCCGTGAGTGAGTGAGGCTGCCTGCCCCGTGAGTGAGTGAGTGAGGCTGCCTGCCCCGTGAGTGAGTGAGGCTGCCTGCCCAGCTGTTTTGTTGTTTGCTGGGGGAGACATTGTGCTGCTGCTGGTGGTGGTGCTGGTGATGGTAATAAAGGTGGCAAGTTCACTTACCTGGGCTGGAACTGCTCTGAGCAGGTGGACGCGTCGTGATGATGTTGTTGTTGTGCACAAGACTTGAGCTAGAAACTAAACCGCGTTTATTTTTAGCGGGCAAGGGCCTCATTGAGATGCTGTGTGTGTAAGCTCTCTTTTAGAAGGCCCTGACCTGGCCATTACCGATGATAGTTCTAGCAATGAGGTTCATCATCATCATCACGTGAACCTTTATAGCAGTTGGCAAAGACTCTAGCAACTCACGTCTCTCAAATGTGGAGGGGAAAACCAGAGGGCCCGGAAAGAAAATCCACTCGACAACAGAGATACAGAGAGACACAAACTCTATGCAGCAGCTGCAGCAACAGCAGCAGCAGTAGTAGCAGCAGCAACAGCAGCAGTAGTAGTAGCAGCAGCAACAGCAGCAGTAGTAGCAACAGCAGCAGCAACAGCAGTAGCAGCAGCAGCAACAGCAGCAGTAGTAGCAGCAGCAACAGCAGCAGCAGTAGTAGCAGCAGCAGCAACAGCAGCAACAGCAGCTCCAGCAGCAGCAACAGCAGTAGTAGCAGCAGCAGTAGCAGCAGCAGCAACAGCAGCAGCAGCGGCAGTA